ATCCTCAGACTGCAATCACAAAGAGGTAAAAAGAAACTTAGTTAATACTATTATAATTTTAAATTAAAAAAGTTAATTAGATCATGATAGTACTTCAAAAAGCGTTCAATACAAAAACAACTGGACTTTATTTGTAACAGAAGACGTTTCGCTCCTCATCCGAGGAAGCAATTTATGTAAAAAGAGAAAAGCCGTCTCTTAACAGAGGAGGAGGCCTCAGATTCCCACTTTCAAAAACATATAATGCAACTTTAAAACAGATCTCCAGCCAGTTTTCACACCTGATGGGAACAGAGGGGCCTCGACTGTGAATTAGAGGAACAAAGACCTACTGTTTTAGATTTTTAGGTGTGAACTGCCAATCTACATATATGTGTGTGTGTGTCTTATGTGTGTGTGTGTCTTATCTCACTCAGCCTTATAACCTGTATCTCTCACTCTCTGCTCTTTGAATTGAGAAAGCTCCTCGGATGAGGAGCGAAACGTCTTCTGTTACAAATAAAGTCCAGTTGTTTTTGTATTGAACGCTTTTTGAATTCATCATGTCCTGGATGACTGAGAATCTTCACCAGCATCATGATAGTACATTAACGTTACCTCTTTTTGCACGGTCATCATTTCTGTTTAGAGGTGGTTGAATGAGTACAGTATGATAATAACCTTTGAAACACTGCACAGTTTGATTACTTAAAATTAAGCGGATGTGACTCAAAATATAGAAATAATGAAATGAGAGATGGCTCGGGACTTTTGCTCAGTACTGTACTGAGCATTAGGGCTTTAACAGACTACTCGAGTAATCTACACATCGATTCCTAGGACACATTGAGGATTTTAATTTCACGTGGAGTATTCGTGGTGACGTCATTCATGTATCACGTGATCCGCACCGGCGCGGGTTACAAAATGGATTCCTCTATTACTCCAAGCAGACGGATGGAGCAGAGCAGACCCAGTTTTGGCAAACAGGTAGAAATGCATCAATAATATGGAAATCTTTCACTAAAGATGAATCTTCTGGTTCAACTACCGTAAGGAAATAGAAAATGAAACAACTTCCTGACTGTTTGGAGCTCGTTGCAACCGGTGTTACACCATATTTTGTGACCACCGTATATTGTGACCTTAGGGGGCGGTGTTGCATGCAATGTTGTAGGTCACAGAATCTGGTGTAACACCGGGTCCAATGACCAAACCAGAACCAGCTTCCTCTGACCTTGTTTCACAAACAATAAGCAAAAAATATTAATCTTTAAACCTATAAAAAATAAAAAAAAACTATAAATATATTAATCTCTGAAACTAAACTTTATGTGCACCACAACTGGCGGTGGTGCGGGGTAGTCGTCTCCCCCTCTGTTTCTAGTTTAGTTTTTGATGTGCCGCACGTTTCTTCACGTTTGCAGCTTAATAATAAAAACTAATAGTTTACTTTTTCCTGTGACTTATTTGCTGTATGATAAATTGTTGGAGCATATGCTCCAAATGTTTTGTTGGTCTTTTTTGTTTGTTTGTAAATAATTACCTTTTTTGCGGTTTTATTTATTTTTGTATCTTTAGATCGTATGATGTCATCAAGTACTCGAGTTCTACTCAAGTTTTATTATGTTAATGTCGAGTTTAAAAATTATGTAGCGTTCAACCCCTACTGAGCATGCGTGTGACGTCCTGCCAATCATCGCTGTTTTTGACAAATCCCCTCCACCCTCTTCCCCCCTACAGCTTCTTCTTTCCCATAATGCATAGCGAGCATCACCACCAAGATGGCCGACGCTATGGAGGAATATGAGAAAGAAGCTGGCTGCGTCCCTATTCTCCATCCTGAGGTAAGCTCCGCGAGCTCCACGCCTTGGGGCGGTGATTTGACCAGAACCGAAACGCGATCCGCCCGTTTGTGCTCGGGCGAGCGTGTCACGCTGTCGGGCTTTCCCGGAAACACGGATGTCCCCTACAGAACCACCGGTGGTGGGGGTGGGGGGGTGACGGCAGCCACCTAGCGATGCTAACGGTGCTAACGCTGCACCCTCCTCCTGCAGAGAGTCAGTAAACGCAGGACAGATGTTGACACATGTGTGTTCGGCTTCGTTTTTGCTCCAGTCGTACTGACGGCACGCGCATCGTGAACCAGCCCGTGCGTAGAAAATGTCGTTGATCCTTCCAGTCGTATCTACGTTAGCTCTGAAGCTAACCTGGCAGCAGAGCTTACTTCTGTTCAGCTGACTGCGATGTAAACTGGTCTGAGCTGTGGTTTGTGACATGTACACCAGTTGTGTTGAACCTGTGATCATGAAGCTGCAGCAAGCTGCTGTAAAACGTTCACTAGTGCTTTGACAGACATGTAATCCAGAACTCTGGATTTTTCTCAGAAATGTAATTGAATTTTTTTTTTTTTTTACCAGTAAATATAAATGAACAATATTCAAGCTTTATACAACAGGAATCTTTTGAATACTCCCTTATGTATTTAAAGCTGTCGTCCTTTACGTTTCAGTAATTCATAAGCTCTAATGCTTTAAAATATACAAACAAGTTTTCATTTGTATTTTTATGTTAGTAGTAGTACAGTCACAGTACTGTACATTCCACACCTCTGGATTTAATATTTTGTACCTGGTTTTAAAAACTACATCTTCCATAGGGCTGCTCAATATGGCATAAGTTTATTGATATCACCGTCTCAATATTGCAGTTTCAATAAATGTCAAGAGACAAACCACATGCAAAAAATTTAACCCCGGCCCTGAGTCGGACACCCACCCCCCCCACACCCCCCTGTTAAATACCCACAGCCGGTAAGCCTGTCACAATAACAAATTTTGCTGGGCGATTAATTGTGTCAGAAATTATTGAGATAAACAATAATATTGTTTGAAATTTGACAATAATTAGTAGGGGTGTAACGGTACGCTGAAGTTCGGTTCAATTTCAAGGAGGGATCGGTTTTGTAATTTTTGGTACAAAAAAAGACAAAATGAAGATTTACAAAACATTTATTTTGAAAATATGCCAAGTAAACAATACGTTTGTATAAAATAGAATAAAAAGCGACCCATTTGGATGATATTTTAAGTAAACTGCACTCTGTACAGTAAATTAACTATACTAACAATAATGAAAATCTTAATAAATACAATAACAGTCAGAACCAGAAGAGTAAGCAGCAACAAACTGTTTACAATCTAACTAGTCAAGTTTTAAGTTTTTGTCCAAAAAGACAAACTTGTCCACATTTTCTGTCCAAAGCACAGGTCTAGTTGCAGTGAATATCTCCAGCGGTGGAGAAAACCACTCACTAGATGTAGAGCTTTGCAAATGTTGCAGTGCGTCTGTATTTGGCCTCATCATTAGTCACAACCTCTTGGACCTGCTCCCTCCGGTGGGACAGGTCCCTGGAAAAGTTCAGAGTTCACTCATCACACACTTCTTAGCTGGAGGTGATCTCTGGTGGATTTCCCTGAACAGGAAGACTCGGCTGCTATCTCTGTCCCAGACTGGAAATAAAACACAAAGAGGTAAAAAAAAAAAAAAAAAGTTAATAAGATTATAATTTTAAATTTAAAAAAATTAATTAGATGATAATAAAAGAACAATACCTCTTCTTGAATGGTTATGAGGTGGTTGAATCTCTCGTTCATCATCAGGGCTTTAATCTGGTCCAGGGCTTGTTGACGATATCAGTTTTAGCTTTTTCATAAAGTGCTGCTACAACTTTTTGGCTGAAGTGTTGACGTGATGTCGTAGCAGAGCTCAAGAACTTTCAAGCCGGCGCATCAACAGCTTTCAAAACTCCTACAGCTTGTTTTATTTCTCTGGACTGATCTGAATGACCTGATGAGGGTTGTTTAAATGCTGCTGTTATCGGTCTTTGCAACAAGCTGCTTTTCTTGCTTCTAGAAGAGACGTTCACGTTCGGATGACGTCGTTTCAAGTGCATTAACAACTTAGACGTGTTGCTGCTGCAGATCCAATCTCCGTGAAACAACGTTGACACACAGCTTTGGATTTGTTCACTTGTCTTTTAACTAGAAAGCCGTAATGTTCCCAAACTCCGGAGCACCCGGAGGAAACCCACACATGCACGGAGAGAACATGCAAACTCCACCCAGAAAGTTCCTTGGACCGGGATTAGAAGTAGAGTAACGTGTTCACTGAGAGGCAGCAGCTCTACCACCGTGCTGCCACTGTCAGGTTATACGCAGTCCTAATTATTAGTAATAACATCTTTTAGTTATTATGGCCAACTAATTTAAGAATCGCATCTAATAATGGTTGGCATTTAGCAACAAATATTATTTTAAATATTTTAAGCAAACCAGATTTTTAAGATTTTTGTGTTTGCCACGTTTTTAACATTTGTTTGTACTCAATTTTTTTTTCCTTCAATTTTCTTTGACTTGAGTATACGACAGTGCAAGTTCAACAAGGCAGGGCTGTTTTCTTGTCAGTTTGCAGTTTCATTCATAAAGGACAGCAGGTTGTATTAATGCAGTCTTTCTCAAATAGTGGGGCGCGCCCCCCTGGAGGTGCCCGGGGCGATGACAAGGGGGCACATGTGACCCGAGGAACATGCTTTTTTTGCCGCAGGGAGTACGTTTTTGTTGTTGTTGTTG